ATTTTAGCTACTGGACTATTTAATTTCCTAAGAATTTCTATATTGTACCTGTCTACATCTGTCCATTTTGATAATATAAAAATAGCATCAAGAAATCGATCACGTTCTATTTGATTTATATTTGTTTCGAATCGTTTTGTAAGGGCTTTCCAATCATCTAAACTACTGTTACTATCTCGTAGTCTTAAAGAGTATATCTCGAAAATTTTGTTGTTCTTTGGATTCACCAGATTGACGTTGGACAATGTCAAGTTCATAGATTTCACTAAATTCTTTGTACACTGCCAAGCCATTATTAGATAATATATCGCTTAATACTTTATTTGTGTACATAAGAAGGTCAATAACTGGTGGAAGCTGTCCGAAGTCTCCTAACAGGATGATAGATCGATTTCCAAAAGGTTCATTTTTTTTTTCGGGGAATGCTTGTCTTAATCTCATATCAATTAAGCCTAGCATTCGTCTTCCCACCATGCTTTTCTCGTCGATTATGATGTACCTCACGTCTTGTAATCTTTCTTGAAGTTGCTTTAGGCGAATGTTGTTTAATTCATATTCTTTATCATTTAATATTGGTATGGAAAGTGTAGAGTGGATTGTTAATCCGTTTATATTGAATGCAGCTACCCCTGTTGGTGCTATCACGATTACTGGCAATTTCCCATTTTTTGTCATTGCACATAGCCGTTCTCTTATTGCCTTAATCAGATATGATTTTCCAGTTCCTGCGGTTCCCATTATCTATATCCTTAACGGTTCTACCTGGCAATCCGAAATGGTATGATTGTAATGTGTTTCTATCTGATCAAAGATAATTTTTTGCTTGTTGTTTAAATTCATATACATAATATCAAATGTTTTTATTTCTTCGTTTACAATATCATTATTATTTTTGCCATTATGTGAAGCTTTATGTACAAATTTGAAAGCATTTGTCAAATCTTCATTAGAATATTTTTGTTGAGCATCATTTGTCCAGTTGTGGTTGCAATCCATATTGCGTGATCCCAGTTCAGTTTCAGTATCATATATACACACATTTGGTCCTATTTCCGCTAAATACATCCAATCCATTCTGAATTCCTTCTCCTTCTTATCTGAAATTTCGTCAAAGCTTTTGTTATCATTTATTTCTGTTTCATGCTCAACTTCTTGTCCTAACAAATTGTTTGGATCAGAATTAATCGTGTTGAGATGTTGACTATAGACTGATGACCAGATAAGATTATTTTTTGTTAATTGATGTATGCTTCGATGAGGGACATGGAGTAGAACCTTGATACGACAGAATTCCACTCTCTGATCTCCATTTCGAACAGCTAATGGATGAGGCCATATTCTAACTATATTTTCTTTTTTACATCTTTTCCAATGTCCGTTAATGTATTTGTGAGTAAGAAATAGTCTAAATAGTGAATATTCTTCAAGCTGTTCTGTTCAATCCCAGTATTTCTATAAAGATGATTTAGAAGTTCTACTGGCATTTGTTATTGTAGTAAGATCTTCATCATTTTCTCCTTTACCTGTTCCACGTATCCACCTTAGTGTCTCTTCATTGAGATTTAATGATACAAACTGCCGACTCGAATGATATAGTGGTATTCCAAGGAGGAGATGACAAGTTTCCTGTGCTGATATGTCTCTTTCTGCAATAGTTCTGATCAGGAGTTTCTGAATGGAAGTAAGTGAGTGATCATTTGGATTGCTTTTTTTAAGAATCTGGCTAAAAATTTCTAAAAAAGTTGATAATTGTGATTCTGCCTTACTAGCATACTTATATATATACTGTAATGCAGCATGAATGCTAAGAATCGGTTTTAAGTCAACGTTTGCACGCCATCCTTGCAATTGTAACTAATTATGTGGATTAATAAAGGGATTATTTCTCGCAGTTACGAGTTCAGGCTGCCCTTGATTATCTTCGCGGATAAATGTTTGATCATTATAATCCTTGGGATAACCAAATCTACACTTTTGCTAGTTGGTTTTTTTATTAACATGGAGACAATACGAAGGACTGCAACATATATGACGTTGCAGCTTATTGATTAGTTCAACATAATCCTTCTGTGAATTGTCTTTGATTTCGTTACTCCGTTTTTGGCATGGATGTTGTTCAGGTATGGCAACATTTTTTGAGGGATTGATTGTAGTAACAATTGAATCAACATATTGTATAGCTTCTTTTATCTTACTTTCATCATTTTTCATTTTGTTCCAATTAATTATAAGTGCGTTATGCTTCCTTCCAATTCCGTGCACATGAACACTTCCTCTGTGTTGCCACTCGAAGCGATACCACCAATCATCAAGTTCCCATCACTTTATCAGCATATTATTAAAGAAATTTTCAAAACATTTATTAAAGAACCATGTTGCGATGTGCGGGTTATTGATAATGTTCTGTAGATGCTATTTGGATGAATCTGTATCTTCAGTTTGTTCATTAGTTAGCATTAATTTATGGAGTTCAGGCCAGTGCAAATCTGCAGTACTTAAGGTAAAAAATATTAGTCCTTGGTGGCCGATTTGTTTAATCATGTCCGTTAACTCATTACGTCGTGCCATCCAAAACTGTCGCGTTCCACGTAATCCTTCCCTATAACGCATAATTCGGTTAGCAAGGTTTTTGTCTCCATTTGTTATCATTTCCTGTATATCAGAGACATCAATTGAACTTTCTTTTATATTTTGTTTAACATAAATTTGCCCCTCCTGTAGTGCTCTCCATCTTATAGATGAGTTCAATGCGAAATATCGCCATCTTGGATGCTGTGCGAATCTTCCATCTTTGTACCATAACAAGTGTTTAAAATATTCATCTGGTTTTATCTCCCTTATACATTCTGAACGTAGGTCCGCTTGTCCATATGGATAAAGTGTGGGAAATGCTTTTACCATGTAACCTGGTAATTGAAATTCACTTATAGAAATTCCTTCGATATCAGGCCAAGATATTGGTGAATTATTGCTCTGTATTCATTCAAGTGTCTCATTTATACCAGCTTCTTTTCGCTGTGTAGGTGGGAGTAATGGTACAAACGTCCTTGTCACCACTTCATTGTTATCTTCACTATCATTTGAAATTTTATTAGCTGTTTGATCAACCGAATACTGTGGAATCATGTTAAGAATAGATTCATTTACTGGTAAGCTTTGAAGTATGTCATTATCGATTATTATATTCTTGTAATAAGGATTATTATCTTGTAACTATAATAAAGCTCTCCATATTTTTTTTTTGCGTACAGTAAAGTCTCTAAATGTATTTGGTTCATCTGATAATTGACGTCGTACAACAAAAATGTCTAACGTTAAAGAATCTCGTGAAAGCTTATTTGTAAAACTTTGAATGTCTTGAGGAAAGTTAATGACATTTCCTCTGTATCCGTTCTGTCCTCCTTTAAGACGATATACCGTTATAATTGTGAAGACTTGGGTGATTAACATTTCTTCGATTTCTGTAAGCCCTTTGAGTTCGTCTGGTACCTTTCCAGGATCCATGTTATTTTTAGCTGAAAACTTCTTTGGTATGGACTTTTCTGTATAGCATCATCTACATATTCCCTTAACAAGCGTCATGCATGGAATTCGTTCGTTGCATATATTACAAAGTTTATAACTTATATTATCCATTTTGTTTCGGAATTCTTGTAGTAGATGGTGTTCAACTTCGTTAATAATAGTGGACAAGTTACAAAACTTTTGTGGTTGAGATTGTTCATTCACATTAATGGCTGTAGCGGAATTATAGGAATCTTGCCATTGATGTTGTTCACACTCGATGGAAGCTGCATTATTCGAATTATGTTGACAATGTTCTTTTTCTCTAATTGAAGTGACTAGGCTACAAATATCTTGATGTTGCCATTGCTCTATTTCATTAATTGAGATGGCCTGGTTTAATCTGGTTTGTATGGTTGAACTTCTGTGATTTCGCTTAACATCTGTTTGTTGCATTATATTATTTCTTATATTATTTCTTACACGGGCAGCACTTTTACGTTTTTTTTCAGTGTTTAGATGACGCTCCTGTTCTTCATTAGTTTCTGTTAATCTTTTTTCGATTTTTCTTTCTAGATTGCTAGCAATGCGCATATTATGTTGTTCCTTTGTCTCCATTGCTCGTTTTTGTCATTTTCTTTCTCGATCACGTGCTAGACGCATCTGACGTTGTTCATTTGACTCTCTCATTCTACTGTTTCGCTTTCGAAGTGCCTCAGGGTTAGAAGTGTTATTATCCATTTATAATTCTTTTTTTATTAAATTATTTATACAGTATAAATTTAACTCAAATTAACTTTACACGATTTACAATTAAGTATTAAACTTTACATAATTTGCAATTAACTATCTGATAAACTATTTCAAAGACTTATAAAATATATATGGTACGACCTTTTAAACTATTTATTATATCTCTTCCATTGACATTTCTATGTATTGAAAAATGTTGGGAAATTACGCGACTTAACATTATAATCAAATAAAAATAATTACAAATAAAATCATATAGAAAGTTATATACTTCAATTTTAAACTATCAATAATCATTTGAATTATTTTTTAGACGAAGTTATAGGAGTTGTCAAGATGTATTTATCGACAAATTCTCTTGCGGCAAAATCACCCTGATTTTAATCAAGAATGTTAATGTATTTTATAGAGTACGAAAAATAACATTTCAAAAAAATACTTTTTTTACCTGATCGTGATATATGGCTCCAACTAAAGCTTGAAGAGTTCTTCCAGTAACAGTTTCAATAATACTTTTAGGTTTTAATTTATGCCCTTCTTGATTCGCTATTTCTACTTCTTTCGTATTGGTCTATTATTGTTAACCATTAATCCTACATACCGGCGTCCAATATGGCAGTTCGTCTAATCCCATCTTCTTACCTATTATACTTAAGTCAACCGAATGTTTTGTATATAAATCACCTTTTTCATACAATTCCTCTGGTGGCACTCTATCTATGTATTGCTTTTTGTCCTACAAATAAAGTAACGATTTTTAATT